TATCTTAAAAGATTTCTTCAGAACTGGAAAAAAATATGTGGCTATTTTCAAAAGCATTTTATACAGTGCATGGTAGAAACAGGATAAAAATTCCACAAAGCAGAGTGTGTTAGGAGTGCGCTGTGGAGGAGAAGTTAGATAAATTCACGTCTTCCTGGCAATGCAGCAGGTGAAGGTGGGTAAAATGTCTTTTCTAACAAGTACCTTTGAGCTTGAAGCATAAGGAGAGGTTCAGAGACTGGGTTGGAGGTTTAGGACAATCATTCCAGGTAGAAGAAATAGCAGCAGCTAATGCAGAGAGATGCAAAAGAAAGAAAGCCACGGTTGCAGCAGGAGTTTGTAAAAGAGACAGTTTAAATGCAACATTAGAAAGTGTTGAGGGTGGTGACAGGGAGCTTCTGGAATGGTAGAATAACAAACACGGACTTGATTATTGTTTTGTCTTTTTAATTAAATTGAATGAAATTTCAGGACCTTTTACACAAATGACGACCCATACTTCACGTTTCATCCTTTGAACCTGTGCAAACACCTTTAGTACTATCATCACACCTGAGGTGACAGATCCATCCAGTGGGTGTGTGGGAGGCAAAGTGTGCGATAGCAGATGGAACAGCATGGATTCCATTCTGTAGGGACCTGGAAGAGGGAACTAGTCATGCTTTATCAGTGGTGCAAGGTAGGAATTTGTGTTTAATCCGCCGTGATCTTCTCTTCAAGTGTCCTTTCAGGCAAGTCATGCTGCATTCCTGTCACTTACAAACGCTGTCTGGTATAACCTCAGGCACTCCGACACAGGGGAGGTGGTTGATGTCCCTCCATTTATTTGTCTCCATCACAGGTGTTCACCAAGAGCACCAAGTCTCAGTGCTAGCTGAGCTCACAGCTTAGCAGTCAGGACCTCTAACCGCCTCACTTCTGCTGTATTGTACGCACATCCAGAGACTATGCTGCTGGGGAAGCCACTGTCCCCTCCTTTGTGACAGCTTATGCTTTTAGAACAGCTGGTTTGCATCTTCAGTCAAATATAGAAACTGGAACCGAGAAATTACTCCACATATTAAATATAAATATGCATCAATGCACAGAAGTATATTAAATATATTAATATGTTCCCTTCATCTTTGCATAAGACTGGTAGCAACTGCGCAGGTCACTAAATAAACATTTTTCTGAAGCAGCTTTGCATGTTTAAAGTTTGTTGCTTTACTTATTATTTACCTATCTATTTATTTATCAATAAGTATATATTAAGCTTTGTGACAGAAACTACAGTGGTCTCTGAAGAAACAGATCATCTGTATAATTCTGCTCTTGTGGAGACTGAAGTCTCCCTCTAAGAATGTGCCCTAAGGTGACATTTTTTCCTTTATTCTTTGCCTTTTGAAAATGAACTCCTTACCAGTATGATTTTGCAACTGTATTTCACCTATTAATATACTCAGTAACTGGCTACGACAAGGAGAGGAGCTAAAAGAGCTTTTCTATCTTCATTTCTGTTACCATGCAGGCAGTAAAAGGCAGAGCTGATATTTCCGTATTAATGAAGGTGGTGACCCAAGACCCAGAGAGGCAGCACCAAAACTCTCTCAGTTCCTTTGAAACCATAAACGACACAGGGACTCTCACATCTCATAATCTGGCTAAGATTAGGCAAGGAAATAAGAAGCCTCTCCGTGTTAAAAGGAACAGAATTCCTCACCTTTCTGGAAGTCCCAAGGTAGAAGACAGCTGATAAATTAATCACTTAGGGAGGACAGGAGACAGGTGGTGAGCCATGGAAAGGCCAGTGTAGCAGAAATCCCAGTGAGAAGGAAAAAGCTAGGTTCAAGACTACAAAAGAAGGAAAATTGGACTTTGAGAAAAATAAACCTGTGAACTTTGGAGTGGGAGAAGTATGAAGGTTATATCTATATATGTGCACATGCAGAATATATGTTATAAATATATTATATAACAAAACTTGCATAATTATGTAATATAAATCAATGCATTGTATATTGTTTGTAGAAAACAGGAAAAATTGGAAGATACGAAGAAAACTGGTCCTAATTCCAGCTTGCAAAAGTAATTGCCCTGCATTTTTTGCAAGATTCTTTTCAGTCATTTTTTGTCATTTTGAAAAACAAAAAGTTGTGATCATACTGCATATCACCTTCATCATGACTCTTCATATTATGTAAAATAGAAATTTTGCCATCATTAAAATAGTAACAAACCCATTCTGACACAGTTAGTTTGGCCTTCTGTTGGGTTTGGATGCAAAGGTACCCTGAAAGCTCATTGTGTGGAAGGCCAGGCTGCAGATGGCTTTTCAGGAAGTGGCTGGAACCCTGAGCTTCTGGCTTCACTGATGGACCAGTCCATTGACCAAGTACCTAGCTGAATGGGCGCATAGGAGGCAGGTGCAGTTGGAAGAAGCAGGTCATGGGTGATTTGCCCTCGAAGGGCATGTCCTGTCCTCAGCCCCTGCTGTCTGTCTGCCTTCTTGCTCTTTCTTTTTGCTTCTTGGCTGTCCTGGGGTGGGCAGCTTTCCTTCCCTGTGCTCTTTAGTTCTCATGGGTCTGCTTTGGAGTCAGCTGACCATGAACTGAAACCACTGAAGCCATGAGCCAAAATAAGCCTTTCTTTCTTAAATGGTGTATGCATGTCAGACTTTTTATTCTAGCAACAGAAAGGTTACTAAGTTGCTTTCCTAAAACCACATCTTAGTATCAGTTCCTAACACTAACATAATGGAGATGTCAGCCTATGGAAATACTTTCATATGTCAGTAGGAGTTGCTTCTTGTTGTTTATTTCCCAGAGAGGACTTTGTTCAATCCTTTCTGCTTTCCTCATTTGTAAGACATGCAAAAATTCTTTTTACACACACACACACACACACACACACACACACACACACACACACAGAGAGAGAGAGAGAGAGAGAGAGAGAGAGAGAGAGAGAGAGAGAGATTTTCCTTCTCTTTGTACTGACTTTCCTATAAACCAGATGGTGCTTAAAACTTCCTGGGCTCTTCACAAAGCTGTTCCTCTAGCAACCTTCCCTAAAAGACTGATTTTAAAACAAGCAAAGATGTTCTCTGGATCTCCTGCTAGTCAATCTGGTAGTCCAACTCAAAGCATATCTAATTTAACAAAAAATAACAAACATTAGGACAAGAGAACTTAATCATAGATACAGTAATAAGAGTAGGGTACAAGACTGTTAGAAATAATTCCAAACTTTTCAGAAAATTTAATTTCTAATGAGGCTCAAAAATATCAATTAGTTTGTAGATCTATCCTTGCCACCTGCTGGGTTGCCACCAAGGAATGGGCCGGGGAAAGTTAAACATCTGTAGGAAAGGTTCTAGGATGTTGAAGGTGTTATCTATGCTTGGAAGCCTGGTTTACAAGCAGAAAACTTTAATGATTTCAGTGGAGCCTTCTGATCACTAATTGAATTAATGGTCTATCATAAATATTTCTCATTCTCATACCAGCAGTTTACAATGGTTTTCAAAACATGAGATCGCTAATTGACAGGTCTTTCTGCTGTGAATGCATCTTAAATATATTGCACAATTTAATCCTCATCTTTAACGACTGGGTTTGTATTAGTTGTGCTGCATGATCAAAAACAATGAAGTGTGCTATGTTTAACTACAAAAGATGAAGGAAAAAAACAACCTCAGGCAAATCATTTGTGGCTGCTGTTATCAGTGTGTTTAATCAGAAAGCTGTGTAATGAGTCTTAGTGGAGACTCTGGCTGAGGTCTGTGCTAGGCTGTCCTTTGGGTGTAAACTCATGCAGAGATCATTTGCTATAGCTGCGTATTTCTTCCTTTGCAGCCTGTGTGCTGAGCTGGTATTCAGTGCTCTGCATTGTAGTATATTACAAAGGCAGCCTGCGGTCTGCTCTTCCTTCCACTGAAAGCAAAACTCAGAAACCACAAGAGTGCAACAAATTGTAGCTTTAAACTTGCAGCTTGCTATGCATCTATTCATAACCAGAACCCCTGCTTCCCTAAAGCTGCATCCACCTCCTATCTGCCCATCCTGGACCACGTATGAGCCCAAAGATCATTCAGGAGCAGCCTTAGGACATGTGGAGAGTTTATCGTTTTATTTCTTGTTGCTTTTATGTGAATCTTTCCCCTCATTCTGATTTGATCTCAAATCTTACAACATAGAAAGCAACAGACTCTTGGCTGTCTGCTTGTGGTATGTTATGTGTTCCAGGAAGATTTTAGAGGTTTGATCCTGGGAGAAAGACAAAAACAGCAGCGACGGAGGATGTGCTGGGCTGGATTTTTGGTCCTATGTGGCAGCCCAAGGTTATTTCACTTCTTTGGGTACCAGGTACCTTCTCTTTCAAAATAGCATATTTGTTTCCGAGATCATGAAAATTCTTTGTCACTCTGAGATTCAGGGCTTTAAAGCAATATAACAATAATATTCTGCCTATTTTACAGAGTTTAGGAGGCTTGAGCATCACAGGTAGCATCTTTCTGGTACCTGTTAGTAAGGGATTCATGATCTGAACAGCTGAAGCAGAAGAGAACTCAAACGTAACGCGCTAGATCCTCGCTCAGTTTAAATGCAACACTGCTGGGTGGGTGGATGCGGCTTCTTCTCCACTGCTAGGAGGGGTCAGGCTGAAAATGCCTCTGTGTCCCCCGGTAGCTGCTGCAAAGCAGAGGTCAGCGCTGCAAGGCTTTGAAAGCGCAAGTGTCTACAGACCAACTTTTCTGAACTGACTGCCAATGCCTGCTTATAATCACCAGACAAGGAGCTTGAGCCCTACAGCCTCGGTGCCAGCAGACGGGGTGCACTCCGGTTGGGGGACAGTGCTCAGGCAAAGTCCAGCAAGCGGGATGCGGCACAACGCCCCCCTCACTGCGGCACCGGGTTCTGGGCGGAGCCATGAGCTCGGCCGGACCTGGACCTGGACCGCCTTGCGCGTTGCCATGACGACGGCACCGGCGGCGCGGAGGAGGCGGACCTGCCGGCTGGAGCAGGTGTCGGATTGCAGTGCGCTCCCGGGCGGGCGGGCTGACTGGCTCTCCCTGAGCCCCAGCGGCCTCTGGAGTTCTGCTCCTTCTCCTCTGCGGCCTCTAGACAGCTCCCCAGCCCTGCGGGCGGGCGGCGCCAAGGGAGCATGGTCCAACACTCGGGCTCCATCCAATCCTTCAAGCAGCAGAAAGGTCAGTGGGCACCCGCGCCCCCGGTACTGTCCCGTAGGCGTCCGCGCCAGGGGACTCTGCGAATTTCAGCGCCTCCTAGCATCCTGGGTCCCCACGCGCACCGCGGCCTCGGGGCGCCGGGTTCCTGATGGAGGACGGAGGACGGAGCCGCGGTTCCTGAGCTGGAGTAGCTGCCTTTGTGCAGCCGGGCTCGGTTCAGCCTAGGGGACCTGTGTGGCTAGGCCCTGCGGACGCGAAGGCTGCAGCCGCGCCCCCAAGCTGTCCCCAAACTTGTGGGAGGGATCCCCGCTTGGCGCGCGCCCCGCCGTCCTGATCGCGCCTCACTGCGTGCGCCCTTGAATTCCAGAAGTTGACCTGTCCCCGCGCAGGGGCTCTGCAGCTTCCTGGGACAAGTTTATTCTGGGGTCCACCTGCCCAGATCTGAGAATGGGCTTTAGGGGTTTGGTTGTGCTTGGGTTATCTTCGGACGCACCGCGTTGTCTTTTCGCTTTTTCCTCAAGTTTGTGGCTAGATGCAGTCAGAAGGCTGCAGCTGCGCCTCCATCGCGGATCAGGGATTCTCCAAGCGGGTCGCTTCTTTGGGTCCTCCTTCTCTATGCTGTGTGGCACTTTGGTGGAGACCATTTTTCTGAGGCACATTCAATTTTCTGGAATTTTATTGTAGTGAAGGGTTTATTAAACATGGTAGCCTTTTTACTGAGTAGACAGCAGTCATTAGGCCAGTAGCTGACCTTGTAGTAACTGTGAAATGTGAGCTCCGGAAAAGTGTATTTGTTTATTCAAAGTAAATATTTATGTAAAAATCCCTTCTCCCCATTCTACGTTTTATCACCATTTTATTTTTTCAACAGTTGCTTCTGTATAAATCTTTGACTTTGCTTTTAAACAAAAACGATGGAAATACCAGGGATGCTTTAGCAGGAATTCCCTCAAAGGTAGAATATTGGACCAAAAGTTCTTCCAATTCCTTAATTCTAGACTCTAAGTCAAAGTGCTCCAGGAGCTGTGTACTAGGTGTGGGGACTGGGAGTGGTAGGAGGATCTACCCAGGCAACAAACATTTCAGTTAGGGCGCCAGTGCACCTCAAGGCAAACACTCCAGAGGAGAATCAAAGTACGTGAGGACGTTTCGTTCTCTTAATCAGTATTTTAAACATATACGGATTTTCACAATGGATACAAGGGTGATGGGAGTTTTGCAACAGTCTGATACTATGAATACCTTCCTCCTCTGCTCCATAACTGTGAATGAATGATTTGTGGGATCTGAACCCTCAGATGTTCTACAACAACTTATTAATTTAAGTATTTAATTATTAATTAATTTAAGTATTTAATTATTAAGTATTAATTTAAGTATTTAATTCTTAATAAGTATTTAATTATTAATTAATTGTTATTATTAATTTAGGTATTTAAGGAGCAAATATTTGCTAACTTTAGATCCATTGTCATTACTGGGTAAAAAGTTAGGCTACTTCTGCCACTTCTTACTGTTTGTGTAACTATTATTATTATTTTCAGGCTCTTTTTGTTGACTTACAAATAAAAAATCCCTCAGCATTCCCTTCTAATTTTTTTTCCTTTTTCCTCTGCCTCACTCTGTTTTATCACTTTTGAATTCGTCTTAAAGAATACAGTGTAGTTCAGACTACGATTTGTTCATTAAAACAGTTTTCAGTTACAAACAATTACACTCTTCCTAGCTCACATGGCCATCCCTCAGGAAAGCATGAATAACTTCTGAAATTTAAAATCTCTGAGTACAAAGAATTAGGGAGGATTTACTGGAAACTCACCCTCCATTTAGTGAACTGTGCACATATGCCTGGGACTTGAGGACTGAATTATTCAGAACATGTTCAGTCTGGAACCTGCCAATGCAGAGCTCTTCCACAGAGACGCTGGCTGGGAAGGAAACCTCAGTGTTCTGCTGCCTTTATGCGAATTGTTGGCAACTCTGCACATTTCTAGGAAAATGTTGCTGTTTTGTTTCTTGATGATGCCAGTTGTGTTTCTCAGAAAGGATCCACCTATCCTCGGGGGGTTATATTCCACTTGAGGGTTTTGCTGCTGAAAGTTGGAGTAACAGAAAAAACAAAGTCAGGATCATGGCAATAGTGAGCAGTGAGAGGAAAGTGCTCACTTCTGGTGTTCCCTGCATGAAATGACGGATACTTGGGTTCGAGTGCCTGGGAGTGCATATTTGCTGTAGCCAGAGCACATCTTGGGGGGACATTTTAGCTGGTAAATGAGGAGTGATCCCTACAGGAAGTCCACTTGGCTTCTTCTGTTTCACTCCATTTGTGAAGGACTCCTATGGTCATGTCAGGATGAGTGAGAAAAGGCCAGTGACACGTCTGGCCACATGTGGCTGGTCACTTACCAAAGAGCTTTCAGGGAAACCATGGATGACATTAATGGAATCTGCTGAAGCTGTGAAGTTTACATCACTAGCCTGAAGGACCCTTTGGTTAAACATATGTAGTGTATTTTAGTAATTCCTCAGAACAATTGCTTCCTACTCAAAAGCACGGTTTAACAATAATGACCTACTATGATTATATGGGACTTGAACACTATATAATGTATTTATTTTTACCCTCTGAAATAAGTTATTTGTTACTGCACAAACCCACCTGCAAACCTCTTACCAACCCCTAGCTTTTCTCCCAGTTGGGACCGTATGGTACCCAGAAGCAAAGTCCTGGCTAAGTACCAACTTTCGGAATCTTTGCTATCTGCTCTTTAAGTCTCCTTATCTCCTCTTCAGTGACATATTTGTCATCGCTAACCTTCCCGCACCCCTACCTCAGAGAAACCAGAAAAAAACTGCAGCCAGTTGTAGAGTTAACAAATTCACTCACCCATGTGTGCTAGCTCCCCCTTATATTTGCACCACTGGTTCTTTTATTATGGCAGAAGGAATTATCTTTTGTTAAAATAATTATAAGTTATATATGCTAAGAATCATGGGGAGAGATGTTTGAGAGTGTGAAGTCATACTTGTCTTAGGGACTGAATGTCCACCTGGGTCATAGGGAGGAAACAAGTGTCTAATGTCGTCTAGGACCCCCCCCCCCATCTTCTCTAGCTTTCAATCTTCACCCTTCTCTTCTTTTCTTCACAGAAAATTTCTTAGGTACAATTCTAGGTTCCCACTGATTATTGCTAGGGAATGTAGGCCAAACTATGAAGCCAATATGGAGAAATTTTAATCCAGAGATTTTTTTCAAAAATGACCCTTGAACTGTTTCTTTAAAACTTCTTTGTCTCTCGAATGTCTCCAGGAAGCTAAAGTTACCACTCAATTAAACTGATATTTATAATATAGTTTTGAGTTAACAATAATAATATGTATTATGAGATAAAAATGCATCTTGTAATTAGCAATGAAGACAAGGGAGAAGGTTAAAATCAGGTTCATCCAAAGGAATTATAACCTGAAAATGTGATTATTTTCAAAGTCTCTAAGGTTCCACTGTCTGATACAGCACATTTCTTAGAGAGATGATACAGGATGCTGACATTTGCCTTTAAAACTAGAGTTTGCCACCTTGTTTGGCATATGGTCATAACCAAAAGAATATATTGGGGATTGATGATTACATAAATTAACAAAAGGAATTCAACCCTTTAAAATCTAAAAAGAGTCCAACGTTCTCTTTCTTATTTTAGTTTTTCACCAATGTCCATGTTTCTACAATATTAATATAAAGTGATGGCTTCCTGTACTAAAATTGTATCTTTAAAGAATCTGGTTACCAACACTAACTTGGAACAATTGCCTTTTCTGAGACTTGGGCTCCTTCTGGGCTCCTTCCTTATGGAAGATTACAGAACAGTCATGCCCAGCTCTCAGGTTTGTGGTAACTGTAAATAATGCAGAAATCCCAGCAACAATGAGTATTGTGTGGACACTTACTATGCACTCGATTAGTGAAGGACTCCTGTGGTTGTGTCAGGGCGAGGGAGACAAGGCCAATGACATTTCTGGCTGCTTGTGGCTTATCATTTAGCAAAAGAGCTTTCAGGGAAACCATGGGTCACATCACACACAGCCTGACTCAAATGTCTTGCCTTAACGGGTTTCCCCAAAGCTCAAAATTTTCTGTAGTGTTAGTAGTTGTATCATTTTCCCCATGTTCAGCTTAAAGGACTTGAGGCTTTGATAAATCACATGCGTTGTCATGATTCTGAACTCCACATTTCTAACTACTTGCAGTCCATAAAGAAGCCTGGCAGTGTCGGATTCTATTGAGAGTAGATATAAAATGTAAAAAGCTGGCCAACATCTCACTTCCCTCTGATTTCCACCACAGCCATCTGTAGCTCCTCTGATGCTCTCTCCTCTTCTAATGAACGATATTCAAGTTCAAGGCTGAAATCTTCACTTCCAACCTTGACCAGGGCAGATCGCTGCTTCTTCTGTGGCCTCATTCACCTTGAATCTGAAAGGAAATTTTGTGGCAGAGTCATCTCAGTGTTCCTCTTGGGCTCTGCAGTTCTTCAGAAGTTACGGAGTGTGAAATTATGATCTAAGCCCGGTCACACACTCGCTCTTCCATTCTGCTGCCTCTTCAGTTACTGGTTTTTCATCTCAATTGCACTGCAAGTAGCAGTTACTTTAAATTCTGACTGACTTGGACCCAACAGTCCTGTAGGAAGCAGGCATCTGCTGCGGGATTCAGTTTCTTATTCTCCCTGTAACCGAGATGCAGTTGGCTTGTGGAGGAGGAGAGGGCTTTCTTGTGGGTGAAATTGGTGGCCACACACACAGAAAAAGAAACACTGCTGACAGTATTTTGCAAATTGCACTACCTTATTGGTGCTATGGGTTCTCACTACACTTTTAGCAAGTTACCAGCCAGATCAAAGATTATCACTTAAAAATGACTTAAAGTGCGTGTGTTTTACATGTTACTTGGGAAAGCTGTTATCATCATCACGGAAAGACAGTGGCTTCTTCACAAATGTATATACAAGGTCTGTTTTTAAACA